CTTGTATCGTTTCAATAGTGAGGTGCAGTGTATCTTGAAAAATCTTGAAAAATTATGGCTGAGAGCTCCCTAAAATTTGGGAAAATGAAACGATAAAATTTAAAACGAATGAGTGTAGCGATGTTTAAAAAGTTTGGACTAAAAGACCAGTACCTTCTTGTTCTGCTTGACTCCTAGTCCAGAACTGATCATGACCTTGCTAGACTCAGCAAACCTGAATTTCCTTTTACCTTAAAGCAGTGCAAATATGATTTTTAGGTTTGGAGTTGAACGTGGCTGGCTCCAAAACACATTGCAAAATGCTACTTCTCAAGCTGCTGCAATTGCAAAATTCTCGGAGGTGATGCGTTCCAGAAATTTTGAGCTAAAAATTTGAAAGATCTCATTTGAGAAAATTCCATCCTTATGGCCACTTCGTTTAATGCTTCCGGAGTTGGTACAAAGATTATCCGACTGCCTGGTTGCTGAGCTTATTCCACTGATGGCCATAGATGGCGTGAAACGAGACCGTGCTCGGCAGCTGTATGCAGCTGGCTATAAAACTGTCTCTAAGGTGTGTGCAATAAGCAGTCGCTTTTAGCTTTTCGAATAGGTCTCATATTCAGGTAGCAAAAGCGAATTATCAAGATCTTCTCAGGGATATTGCACATCTTAGCCAGTTTAGCACTATCAAAATGATCAGCTCAGCAAAGGTGAGTACAGAGACAAATTTGCCTGAAAATATTTGAACTGTTCATCAGCATCTAGCTCACTGAATGCTCACATTGAATTCAAAATTTACACGAATTTCATAGGACGTATCAATGAATCATTCTCGATATAATGCCGCTAATAATTAGTAAACGTAGTGAATTTCTCGGTTTATACAGTACCGCTATTTGTAAAAAAAAGTAGACTCTTCACCCGGATTCGTCGCATTGGCGTCGTATTGCCATACACGGTTGAGACGTATCGTGAATGCGGAGGTACAGTTCGACACAGCAGCTTAATGCCGCCCATTATGTGGTAATAATACGGTATTTAACTTTCAGGACTTTTTTTGAGTCACTTGCGTAAGTTACTCACAAGGGAAGTTTAGTCGAATCGCTCTTTCCGAATGAATTATTACTGATTAGCATCGTACACTGATTTCATTGTCAGATCTGCCTTTATCATGCAGAATTGTAAATTTTGAAAAACTAGCTGGCAAACCCTGCTCCGCCGGGCCCTGTAAATATTATAATCGTATTCAGCAAGCTCAATTATCCCCTGCCAACTTTCAGCCCCATAGCTCAAACTTTGCAAAAAAATCCATGAAATCAATATCGATCGAAACAAAAAGTAGCCTATTACACCCACTCCGCCCCAAAGTATATGTGTGCCAAGTTTGGTCCGGATCG